GCCCGAGGCTTGTGTTGTTCATTAACTGATAGTCGCTGCTGTTTGCCCTGCGCGATAAGTGCAGGGGGCCGATGCCGTCACAGCTGCCCTTCACTGAGAATTACCCTTTTTACGGCTTGCTTTACCCACTGGTGGATTTTTTTTTAACTAAAATAAATGCAAACAAGCAGCACATACCTCTCCTAATGGAGGATACCGAGCGTGCTTTCTGTTCTCGACTGCTTGGTAACGCTCCGCTCGGTACAAAGGGCACTTAAAAATGTGACATGTGGGGCCAGCAGCATCGTGCTCCTTAATGGGGCTTAAAAGCAGCGCGTGGCCGCCCGGCAGAGGCGGCTCCGGCGGGGTGGGGAGAGGAAAGCGGCCCCGGAGCGGCTCGTTGGGATGGCGCCGCTCCGGCCCGGAACGCCGGCGTCTCGGGAGCCCTCGGAGCCGAAGTGCACATTGCGCTTCGGGATTGGGATTTTTCTCCTTGTGCAAACGAAGCGCAGGTGTCTGACAGCACATTCCTGTTCTCGGGAGAAAGGCAGCTGAAATAGCGTGTTTTTTTTTTTTTTTTTCCTGAAAAAGCTACATTTTAAGATACTTCCCTCCCATGTTTCATACGTGAAGCTTCAGTCCTCCGTGAAGATACCTTGTGCTGGAGGAAGGACTTTTAAAATATTAATCTAAGAGAATCTAAAACCCCTTAGTGATTCTTGGCTCGTAGAACTGTTTGAGTAAAGCCTCTGGGGAAGAACAGAACTGCCATTCACCTTTAACAGAGCTGGGAATTTGGGATGATTCAGTTTCCTTCTGCCCTTTTCTTTTTCCAGTCCGTTCCCGGTTTAAGGAGCTTGCCCCGTAGCTGCAGTAGATCCTGCTGCAGAAGCAGCCTGCTGCGTGTCCGGGTGGGCTCTGCAAATCCCTCGTGCTGCAGACGAGTGCGGACGCTCCAGTGCTGCGTGGAGGATGATCACCAAACTGAAGGAGTGTTTCGGATGTGTGTAGACCCCGCGGGGTTGCTTTGGGTGGAATCGTGTGTTTCCTGGTCAGATTTGCCCCGTGTCTCCAAACCAGGTCCATGAGGTTTTGCTTTCCCCCCCTTCCAAACACCAGTGTTGGGGTCACCGCGTCCCCCGCTCCAGCGCGCCGGGGAGCCTCGTGCCACGTGTGGCTGTGCGGGACGAGGGGGGTGACCTCCATTCCGACTGCATCGCTCGCTTTAAACCTCCTGCTTTCTAAGCAAAGGACTGTGGTTGCTGCTAAATGAATAAATACAGGGTGGGGGCTGGGGTGCATCAATTTAACATCAAATGACTTCCCTGGGCTCTGTTCAGTTCTTGGAGAGTACCAAAGCGGTAGAACTATTTCTAGTTTGGGGTTTTGATTTTAACCATGCAGCACAGCATGGTAAAAGTGTTCAAGTGCTTTAGGAAATACTGTTTCGGCTTGTTTTATGCCTTTCCTGTTTTGCCTCTTATTGTTACAGAGGAAAAATCTCTCTGGAAAATAGTAATAAAAAGAAATATTTGGGGGAATTTGATACAGAGGGGGTTAAAACGCGTGGATTTGGCCATTCGCAGAGCCTCAGAGTAGCCCGGTTTGGTTGGTGTTGAAGCTGGGCAGAGTTCTGAGGTGCTTTGACTGCCGATAACCCCCGTTGAGCTCTTGGGGCGCCGTGGCCACGTGGCCTCTCTCGTTAGCCCGGGGCTCCCCGGGGGCCCCGCGCGGCGCGGCCGCCTCTGGGGACATGGCTGGGCTCTTGGCCTTGCCCTGGGTGTCCTCGATCCTTTGTGTGGAAGCACAAAGCTCGCCCTGTCTTTGGGACGCACCATCGCGTCCTAAAGCGAAGCCCCCTTCGCTGCCTGTTTAAGGTCGTTTCCCTGCGTTTCTTGCCTTGGCTCCCTGCTCTTGCTCGCCGCTGGCTGCTCGTTGGGCTGGAATAGCAGTGGAGAAGCAGCTTTGAGTCGTGTCCGGGGTTTGTGGCCATCGCACGCAGCTCAGGATTACTGCAGAGCCCTCCCGTGTCCCTGTCCCCGTTGGGAGCTCCCTGCCTTGGAATTGCCGTAGGAATTGGGGAAGGGGGCTGCGAGAAGTCACTTGGTGGCTGCCTCTTCTGGCAAGGGATGTGGCAGATCCTGGATCCTGCTCATCCCAGAGGGCTTCCCGGAGACCAGGGTCGGGTCTTTTCCAGCCATCGGGATAGCCGTGCTCTGGAAGATGCATTAGGTGTCGGGCAGCCAGCATGTGCTAAACCAAAGGACGTTCGCTTAATCGCCGCTTTTTAAGGAATCGATCCTCCCCTTAGTTGTATTTGTGAAGCACATCCAAAGCGTGTGCGTTCGTAGCTTGCTTCCTAGTGGAAAACTACTGTGCCTGGCGCCGGCCGAGCGCCTTGGCGAGCCGGCGGAGCGGCGCTCCCGAGCCCTCCTCCCGGTCCCCGTGCCCGCCGGTGGCGCTGGGGACGGTCCCGGTGCCCTGGTCTGCGTCGGAGACGTCTGCTCCCGTTCCAGCACGTGGAGACGCGTCCCGGCGCAGCCGCTGCTGCCCTGGGAAGCAGGGATCCCCGGGAAGGTTTGCCGGGATCCGAGGAGAGTTTCCGCCGCCGGGATGGCCGGCTCCGCTTGCAGCGTGGCCGAGTCTCTCCTCTCCCCTAGTTCCTCTTCAGAGGAAACTTCCCTGCCTCCGTTTTCAGACCCCGGTTCCCTTCCGCCTCCTCCCTGCGCCGCTCCCTTTCGCTTTGGGTTTCCAGGCGGATCCTGCGGCTGGTACCGCAGCCCAGATCCGTTGCGCCGTGTTCGGGGGGAGCTCTTGAACCCCGGTTAGCCGAGACGGGAGCGTCGCGGCGCACGCGAGCCGGCCCGGGCCCTGCTCCCGGTGCCGTTTAATCCTCCGTGTGCTGGTTCCAGCGAGCGCCCGAGCTCCCGCGGTGCGCTGTGTGCACGGAGCGCTCCGTGGGCCGCTGGATTTCACCCCATCCCGGGCTTTCCTCTCCCCTTGCCCAAAAGCAGCAGTTTTCCGTGTCCAGAGGGGCCGGCCCCGCCGCCGCGCCGGCTCCACGGAGCAGTTTTCCTGCCGGGCTCCTGGGAGCTGGAGCTCTCTCCAAATGACCTGGGGTCTCAGGAGCGTCACAGCTTTCAGGCTCTGTGCTCACATTTTAATAGAAAACTTCAGTTTTCTGTAGGGCTCCTGCTTCTGAGCCTGGACTTTCAGACTGCTGCAGAAGTGACGTTCGTGCTGTGACAACCGATTTAAAATAAGGCAATTATAAACAAGGCATTTAGTATATATTTTTATGTATTGTTTAGCTGTGTGATATCCAGTGTCCTTGGTTTTGGAGGGCTCAGCTCTGCCCGCGTTCCTGATGTTTCGGGGTCTCTGCAAACCCAACTCCATCCACAGCCTCCACCAGGCCTGTTGGGAGGCCTTAAATTGCCCATGCAGGGCAAACTGCAGAAAGACAGGGCTTTAATTCCATCAGTAATAGATGTTGCACCCTAAAGATGTTCAAACGCTGCGCGGCTGGTAGGTAAACACGAGCGCTGAAGACTCCTTGGTTGCTCCTCTCGGGAGGCCAGCTTTGCTAATTGCCTCCTAGTAAACTTGCCGTCCCCCTGCAGTGCCCTCGTTTCGCGCCGCCAGGCTCTATTCAGAGGTATTTCCCCAGGGTTTTATATATTTTGCTACTTGTAATGAACTTTGGGCTGCCGCCATACGAGTCCCTGGAGAGTCTGTGCCAACGAGGCGCTGGATGTTGCTTGTTTTGGTGTGTCGCTTTGCAGGGACCTTGCGGTGTGTCCAGAGCAGGACGGTGGGAGCGCAGGTCTCCGGGATGCTCCGTGGGGATGTACGCGAGCCGCGGCCGGCACCGCGGGGCCGCCTTCGTTATCCACCCTCATCACCCTGCAGCTCTGCTGAGAAGCAAGGGGATGTCGGGGAGGGAGTTTATTTGCACCTACTGCACGGATGAAAGAGTTTTATAAACCAGGAATAACCAAAGATTGAAAGAGCAGCCTCGCCGAGTCGGGATGTTAGAGTGAAGTGCCGGAGTTTGGGTGATTTGGTTTTTCTTATCTTTGCAGCTGGCTCTGACTAGGCAGGAGAGCTGGAAATGGCCCTGCTGGCCTTGGCGTTAGGTGATTGTGGAGCTGCTCTGTGCGTTGGAATCCTTGCTACTAATTTTAAATGTTTGTGAGAAGCTTTGCGTTTGGAAAATAATTCCCTCGTTCCAGCATAACGAAGGACACGCTTTGCTCTGTTTGCTCTGCAGTTGCCACTCTCAGCATCCAAGAAGACAGACAAATACCCCAATACTGAGCACAGGCAAATATTTTCCATATAGCGCTGCCTGCAGTACAAATTCCCGTAAATGCAGAACTCGTTGGAACGCTGCGTTTAACTCTTTGCCTTTCCCCGAAGGAGCAGGGAGGTTCCCAGCCGGCCGCCTGACCGGAGCGTTCCGGGTGTCGGGACCTTCGTGTCCCGCTCGCGGAGCAGCGTCCGCCCGGCTGCGCGCTCCGTCCACACGTGCTCCCGACGCCTCATTCCCGCTCCCAAGCGGGAATATCGCAGCACGGGCTCCTGCTGGATGTTTCTAGAACATCGCACCAGCTTCCTCTGATCTTTCCAGGAAAGTATTTGAAAAGTTTTGTGTTGCCTTTTGTGGCTCTTATGGCCATTTTGGAGCACACAGATCTGCCGCGTTCTGGTGTTCCTGCTGTTGCTCCGTGTTGTGTTACCCCTCGGAAGCAGAGCTTTTACTCCTGAAAATCAGAAGCTGTAAGTAGCTGTAGGCTTATGGAAAAGCTGGGAGGGGAGTTTGTCTCCCATTCCTGGGGAACCTGTTACACGGCGAGGCGCCGGTGCGCAGCGCTCGACCTGCTGCGTCCCTGCTCGGAGGAAAAAATAATGGGGTGATTTATGTCTTCATCCTGTTCATCCTCCCGTTGTTATTCTTGGCTCCATTAGGTCTTTAGACTCACAAATTTCGGCTTTGTTCCCCTGCAGGACGAGCTGCAGACCCATTTGCTGCTCTTGTCCTGCCTCATCTGCACCCGGGCACCAAGTCCCGCCAGGATTCCGGGTTTAGGAAAGCTCCGGGTGAGGGAGATGGGGCTTGCAGGGACACTGCAATAGGGCACAGAGCTGCCTTTCTAAAATAAAACACATGTACAATATTATTTAAATTGTAATTTATGTAATGTAATTTATTGAGGAATGGAAAAACAGGCAAAATAGCTTGTTAGTGGCCACTGAAGGTGGGTGGTGGGTGGTTTCCCTGGGGAAGGGGACTTGGCTGGCTTTTCGGAGGATGGTGACGTTTTTTTGAAGTGACAAGAACTCTTTCCAGCTGGGGTTTGCGCCTGCTGGAGCATTCAGGAAAGTTAATCCAAATAAGCTCAGAATATGAGTTGAAATACGGCTTTAATTCAGTGCAGCTTAGTTCATCTGTTTGCTTTTGTTCTGAATGAAGGTGTCCACCCAGGAATTTAATTTTATCTAATACAAGTATTAAATTCAATTCCCTAATTGTGCTGGGGGGTGCGTGGAACCTGTTCCCAATCCTCCTGTCTCCGTTGGGATGCCGGGATCCCCGGGATCTGCCGTTCCCGCGGGCACAGGGCAGGATGGAGCCGCGGATGCCCCTGCTGCAGAGCACGGGAGGTGGCAGCCTCTGGGCACGGAAAGGGAGCTGGGAATGGAGTTTTCCAGGAGCGCAGCGGGGTAAAGCCGTGCTCAAGCTGGCCATTTAACTGGCATGGAGCCTCATCTCGGAGTTAGAGATTGCACTTCCAATTTCCAACCATGCAAAAAGGAGAGTCGGGAATTTTTAAGTTCCGCAGTTAGAGCTTGTCCTGGTTTGTGTAGCAGTCCTTTATACCATCGCCTCTTCATTATTCCCCTTACATACCTCACATTATCTTTTTATTCCGCCTGGGTAATTCTCCAGATTTACACGGAGAACTTCATGACGTTGTAATTAGCAGTACCAGATATTTCCTGTGATTTCTTTAATGCGATTTTCTTCCGTGCCTGCAGCCCCTTGCTCTCCGCAGTGCGTTCCCGTGCGCCCGTGGCCGCGCACGCCGACACCGGGAGCACAAAGCTGGCCGGGCCGCCGATGAGCCGCGCGCTGTGGTATGCGGTGTCGTGGCACTCGAGGAATTTAGTGATCTCTGTACGAAGAGCAAGAAGTTGTTTATTGTTTCTTCATAAAGGTTATTTCATGCCTGCAAAATTCACTGCACAACTCAGCAAGTGCTGTCAGCTCCAAGCAGATTCTTACTTGCTCGTTCAGTTTAGAGATCTAATGACTTTGGGTGCGATGCAGAGCTTTTAAATTCTATTAGATTGGTTCTTAAAAGGCACTGAAGACTTTGCCTTGTTACGAGCTTATTCATGTGCACTAAAGGATTTTTCCCTGCTAGTGACGTTGTTTTTTGCCACGGCCGCCTTGCCGTTCCCTGGACGCTTCCCCCTTGGGCCGAGGCCTTTGGAAGGCTGGGGAACTCGGGGGCTTTTCAGCTGTTCAGGTTCTGCTGCTGGATGGAAATGGGGGTCTCTGCAGATCTGCAACCCTTCTGTGCGGAGCAGCGCGGTTCTGCGTGGGCGCAGGCGTCACCCCGGCGTGGTCCGAACCTGCTCGTGAGACGTCGGCGTTTTACGTGTGAAAACGTCTCTGCTGCACGTGGCAACGTGTAAACCCTTCACAAACCCTTGTGACCTCGGGAGGGCTCAGCGTACCCGCACGGAGCCTGGTTTTCCGCCGCGGAGCGCGCTGCAGGAATACTGCGGATCTTAGGGATTCTTGGAACGCTCGACACGGCTTAGGAAATAAAACCAACGCCGTCACCGTACATGCGAAATTAAACCCCTCAAACCCTCTATCTTAGCGTGATTTGATTTCATGAATTCTCTGTCCCTAGAGTAGAAACCTCCACCACGGGTTGGAATTTGAAAGCCTCGGTGATCGCTGCAGAATCCCAGTAAAGCAGCGCTAAAGACCAGGCTTTGGTGTCTTGGCAAAACGACCAAATAATGGAATTCAGTCGTGTTGCTGCCCTGAGCAGGCAGTAATTTAACTTGCCAGGAGTGTGGCTTCCCAAAACGTAAGCAAATTGGTGTAAAGGCAGAGCCCGGCTCCTACGTGGGCAGTGTGAACACAGTGTTTTGCAATGGTCATGCTTTGCTTCTGCCAGGTTCCTGTTGGGGGAAAAAAGGTAATTTGTGTAGGGCCTGCTCACACCGAGAACTGTAATGATTTTTTCCCTTAAACATCCCCTGTTTTAACCGCTGCGTTAGGTGGGAGCTGGGCATGGGCGGCCGAAGTGTGCGCTGGAAACGGGGCGTAGGGCTCGGCGAGGAATCCGCACGGAAACGGGCCCGGGGCGTTTGGCCTCCCCTGGACGGGGTGGACGGTTTTCTCTTTTGTGGTGATTATTTAAAGCAGAGAGAAAACAACAATTTTATCCCTCGTTACGTACAAATGATTATTTCAGGAGTGTGTGTTTTCCCACTTGGAATTCTGCGTATCTCCTAGAACCCTTTCCCTTAAAAAAAGAAAAAATATTGGTGAAAAATCAGTGGTTACCAATCAATGGTTATTTTGACAGTGAATGTTGGAACTTTTAATTTCTCTGAGGTAATCTGTCTGTCTTTTTTTCGTAGGATGCTGTGACATCAAAACCGGTAATCCAGTTTCAAGGAAGCCAAGGGGTAAGTTTGTGCACGAGCTGCCTGGGGAAGCCCTTCACCGCGTTACTCATCCCCTTGACAGTGAAATCCCTGTCTGAACGTGCGTCCCGTGTAGCTCAGAGCAGTGCTGTGATTCCAAAAGATGCGGAATTCCTACGTGGTCCAGGCAAGAACATTTGCTCGTTGATTACGTGGATTATTTCTCAGCGAGAACTTCATTTGCTCCCCTGAATTTTCTAGCATTGCTAAATCCACGGCTGTGCGAAGTGATGCAAGTGTGGCTGGTGGTGAAACCTCCTTTTATAGGGGCAGACTGTTGTGTAGGAGCTGAAAGCGTAGCGAGGTGGCAGTGTCCTGAGCACAGCACTCATGGAAGCACCACGGGAACACCCTGCCAAGCCTGGGAAACCTGGCCCAGGAATTTGAGGCTGCAGATGCCTTGCAGGTAGTGCTTGGGGGTGTTACGAAGCAGCTGTGCAGCTTCTTTGAGCATCAAAACCCTTTTTCTACTTAGGAGTCTAGTTTCTCTAACTTCTGTTCCAATGACTGAGCTCCTCCGAGGTATTTATAGAAGTTTGAGACTCTCTGTCGTTCCGGCTTCTGACAACGCAGAGATTTAATTGCTAGTTTTTCTATTAAAGTAATGCAACACTTCAGGGAACTTTAAAAATGTCATTTATATGTCTTTTTAAGTACAAAAAAGGTGTGTATTAACTTGGCTGCTCTGCATAAGAAAGGGGAATATAATTTGGTGTTGGCTTCACTCTAAATGTGCTGCGTGTTGATGTGTGAGAATTGAGTCATCCTCAACGTCGTGTGCGGAGAGGCTTAGGGATAGGAAGGACAGAAACAAAATGCCACTTCAAACTCCATCAGAATATGTTGTAAATGTTCTAGTTTGTGTTTTTTGGAGCACACTAAAGCTTCCAGAAATGCTGAATTAAGAGCATGTTACAATCGAGCACGTATGTCCCTGCCTGTATTTTGCCTTGTGCTGTTAGTGTCACCAGCTCCATCCTCCTGTAACAAAAAGGAGCAGGAAGGAGCTGGTTAGCAAAGTTCAGAAGAAAAGTGCAGACCTTTCTGTCATGCTTGATAAAGGAGCAATTTTTTTCCCTATGTTTAGAATTAAACTTTCCAGAAAGCTTAGATTAAAAATCTGCAACTAACGTTTCACGGAATTCCCCAGGCAGCAAACGGAGCTTGTGCGGATGCGGATCTGATGTTCCAGGCGAGCCGCTGGCGCCGTGTGCGCTCTCCTTCCCCTTGCAAAGCCCCAGTGCAGCTTTTCCTGCAACGGCCGGAGCTCCCGCGGAGCCGCCGCTCCTGCCTCATCCCCCTGCTCCCAGGTGGGACAAAAAACGGCCATTCGCTGCCGTCGATGCCGGAGCCGGCGCGGAGGCTGCCATTTAAAGAGCAGAGCGACGCGGGGACACCGCGGGGACACCGCGGGGACGCTGGCGCGGCGCTGACCTCCGCGCCTCGTTTGCAGCTGTTTAATTAATTGCACTGTCGAGTAAAGGCCAAAGGTAGGGCTTTCAAGAAAGCGCAGAGCGGCTCAATTGGGGCACATAGAAAGAGCTCTTTGTCCCTTCCGTATTATTTTTGCAGGGTATGACAAGGAGCTGGCAGCTGCGTAACCATCTGTTTTTAAGCGTAGTACTCATATATGTCAGGATTGAGCCTTGCTTTAAGGCATTAGCAGCAGGGCTGTGAATACTTTCTGGAGCGTGTTCCGTAATTTGGGCTGAAAAGATAAAGCTAAACGCAGGAATTGAGCAAGCTCTCAAGTTCGGATGATCCCAGCAAAACTCTTTTCTTTAGCTGCTTATTTTTGCAATACTTTTTTCCACTCACTCAATTATTTTTTTTCCCTCTTTGCCTTCCTATTTCACTTCCTAATAAATGTTGCTACGGAGACAATTTCTGTCCAAATTTTGAGGCTCTGGCACAAATGTCAGCATGTGACTTGGAGGAGTGTCCAGTGATACCAGATTTTGAGAGTGAGCCCTTTCTTCCTGGGTAAATAAATAGCCCTATTCCCAGTAAATAAATATCCCTGTCCCTCGGGCTGCCTCTCCTCCTCCGGGAGCCTCCTTATTTACTGATCTCGGTGTCTACGGAGGGTTCTGCTCGCTGTGTCCCTGTTTTCCTGGGCTGTTCCCAGTGCTCCGGCACAATGAACTCTGCCAGGGAGACTCTGAGCTCTTATTTCCAGACAACAGCTCCCATCCTCAGTCCAACGGAGCAGGGAATGGGGCAGGAACAGGCCGTGGGGCCGGGCAGGACAGTCCCTGTCCCCAGTGCAGAGCTGCAGCTCCTGGGGTTCGCCCGAGGAGCACCGCGTTTGTCACTTACCCATCCCCAGCTGCTGCTTTTCCTCTGGTTTTGTAAATTTATATGGAGTTTTGCTTAGAGAGATGCACGTAAATCAGCATTTTAGAGCTCCAGTACCGAGCTGTTATAAATGGTAGCAGTTGATGCGGTGCAGAACTTTACAAGAAAGACTAAAGATGTTTCTATTTTGGGTAAAAGTGTCTACTGAATTGGAGATGAGGCTGGGTCGAATTTGCAGGTGCTGACTTGAAAAAAGCGCCAGGATGGGGGGAGGAAACGGGCTCCAAGTACGTGCGGGTGCCGAGTTCTTAAATGTGACTGTCGGGGGGGAAATAACAAAACGTGATTGGAAAAAACTGTATTTTCCCCCTGTTTCTTGGCATGCCCCGTTGGTATTAATAGAAGGTGAGATTGCCGTTCAGAGCGAGCTGTACACAGATGAATGTTACTTGAAAGAAAAAGCAGCGTCACATCTGCACGGGGCTGTTCTTGGGTGGCTGCACCGGGTCCCTCCGCGCCGTTACCGGGTTCATTCGCTGGCTTAAGAAACCTTCTGTTTCAGCTAAAAATAATTCCTAGATAACGGCCATTTTGCATATGCTATACTTTTCAGTACTGAAACAAGCCAAGTTTAACGATAGTGCGACTGCGTCACTTCTCATTTTGTCCTTTGAAGAAGCTGCCCTGGTGGGTACAGAAATCATGCAAAAATGCCAAGGTTCAGGGCTCTCGTAGCAGCCAGTTGTAACTGCAGCAGATCAGCGTCGAGCAGGGCGTTATTTTAGGATGTGAGTTTATGGTTTGGTTACATTTTAGCGTTTTTTTGCAGAAACCTGTTGCATGCAGCACAATTCTAGTGTGAACGGTGCTGGGTTGAGGCGGGTTGAGCGCCCTGCTTCGCTTCGTGCCCGTTTGCACTGTGCCAACGGGCCATAAAATGCCATAAAACACCATGGGATACCCGGGCTCTGCTGTTTGTGCCCGGGCTAGGAAATGCTCCTGCTTTGAGTCAGGAGCAGGGCCCGGTGCTGGGCACGGCCGATGGGGCTCGCGGTGGCCAAATCAGCGCCGGGTATTTTTAGACTGCGACACTGGGACACTCGTCCTTCCGGTGCCGCGCGGCTCCGGTTCGGGGCTCCTGGCGCTCGGGAGAGCCCGGCGCTCGGATTCCCCCCTCGCTGCTCCGGGACACGTCCCCTCTCGCTGCGTTTCCAGCGCTGCCCGTAGCGGAGGCCGCGGAAACCCACCCAAACGCCTCCGGGAAGCAGCGAGCGCCTTCCCAGCAGCCCGGCAGAAATTCCAGCC